AATTTTTCTGATCTCCAACGCGAAAAAAAATATCGTTGCAGCTATTTTTGTTAATTTTCTACGAATTTTCAAAGTTTGTGAAATTGGCCTTTTCCGCGGCCATGACCAAGCAATAGCGAAGAATAGGGCGAGTTGGCCTGTGACGTCATCGAAGGACTAACAATGTTTGCTTCTAAGGAGAATATATGCGAACATGGGATAGCGTGATTCAAAATCGTTGCAGAATTAATGTAAGGTAGGTGTGTTGCTGAAGGGAGTAGCGGTACAATAAGGCTAGGAGAGAGCTATCCCCTTCCTTCGATACCTCTATCTCCAGCAGTGAAAAAAGAAGAAAGAAGTGTGCTGACTTTTGTGAAGTCGGACTGAAAGAGGGAGTCAAGGTAGATAAGATACGAATTTAATTTGGATAAGATGGGAGCCATCTGACTATTCTATTGATACGAGCCCCAGAGTCCCACACCAAAATAATGGATACTGCGTGACATGATTATACGGCAAATTAATCGCATCGCGTATTTTGTCCTCGAAATAGAGAGTTTTCTAAACGAATAGTCAACGACACGTTCTTCCTACAACGAGGCGATTAAGATTAGTGAGGCTTCGAACTGCTGAACTAGCTATGTATTTGTGGATTTTATATATACAACCACACGCAAGCTACACGCACGAGGTCAACAATGCGGTTGAGTTTCTTAAAGGCTCTGCCGCATATACAACTGTTTTGTTCTTTGAGCAAAGAAATATATCTATCTCAGTTACAAACTAAAACAAATCAAGCATTGATAGGTATATAAGGAAAGTAAAACAAAACATTTAGATTTGACTTTATCGTAGCCGCCCAATCGCAGTTAGACTCCGAATTGTATTGCTGGATGGTACAGTACTTTCATTTAAAAGTCTTGTCCAGTTTTGATAAAATATGAAGCGCAAATACCGCAAATGTGTTTTGACAGTGCTCGAAACCTAGTCAAACTTCTATTGAGTGTTCTCAGCAAAGTCCTTTGATGACGTCACTAAAAGCTCGTCCCAGATCCCACCA